AGCCCGATGCGGGGCTCGATCCCAGGACCCTGGGATCATGACCTGAGCTGAAGGCAGACGCTTAATGACTGAGCCACCCAGGCACCCCAGGAGTTTTAATTTAAATGCTACAAGTTAGCAAAACCTAAATTTTAAATACTGTGAAAATTGTATAAAATATTTAAGTAAACTAGGTAGTGTAAGTCAAATAAGTAGAGGTTATTAAATCCACTCAGATAAAAATGAAGGTAAGGCCAATGTAGATAAGTAGATACAGATATATAGGTACGGTATAGATATAGATGAAAAAGAAACTTTCACGGTAATCAACCAAGTGATTTAGGTAAACTAATTATCGTAAGATTCTAGTACTTTATTGGGCCATAGAGAAATTTTTACAAATGGCCATCTACTTCTTTTTTTTTTTTTTTTAAAGATTTTGTTTATTCATTTGAGACAGAGAGATAGAGAGAGAGAGCATGAGCAGGGGAGAGGCAAAGGGAGAGGGAGAAGCAGGCTCCCCACCGAGCCAGGAGCCTGATGCGGGGCTCGATCCCATCATGACCTGAGCCGAAGGCAGATGCCTAGAGACTGAGCCACCCAGGCGCCCCTCAAAATGGACTTCTTATTCTTCTACTCCATCCAAATTAAATTTCCGCACTGGATAGCTGTGGGCTCTCTTCTCCCCACCCCACAGAAAGTGGTCTTCCTAATGTTTGCCTGCTGGAGGACAGGAGCAGAGAGAACAAGTGCTGCTTATGGACAGATAGAAACCAAGGAGAAAACTCCAGGGGGCTCAGTGTCCCATCCCATCTCCCCAGCCCCATCGGGGGAGGGGGCCTAGAAGTAATCTATCGCATTACAGTGCCTTGTGCTGCTGTGGACTACAAAACAAACCACCCCAGAACTTAGAGTCTTGACAGAACGGTGTATTATTTGTATTTATAGGTTCTTAGCTTTCCTAGTTCTGTGAGTTGTCTGGGCTCAGCCAGGTGGTTCTGTCTGGGAGTCACTCATGTCACAGTTGGATGTCAGCTGGGGCTAGAGTCATCTGAAGACTAGATGGGCTGGAAGTCCAAAATGGCTCACTCACATAGCTGGTAGTAGACATCAGCTATCAGCTAGTTCAGCTGAGGCAGCTACACATGGCCTCTTCATGGGGTTTTGGCTTTTCATAGCATGGCAGCTGGATTCTGAGAAAAAAACATCTCAAGAGTGAGTGGTTCAAGACTGCCAAGCAGAAACTACAAGGCTTTTTAAGACCTAGCCTCAGGGGTATCACTGGGTGGCTCAGTCAGATAAGCATCTGACTCTTGATTCCAGCTCAGGACAGGATCCAGGGTGGAGAGATTGAGCCCAGCTTCGGACTCTACGTTCAGCGGAGAGTCTGCTTAAGATTCTCTCCCTCTCCTTCTGTCCCTTCCTCTCCCCTCCCCTGCCTCTCTAAAAATAAATAAATCTTAAAAGAAAAAATAAAAAAAGTCTTAGCCTCAGAAGGCCTAGGAACATCATCTCTGCCACACACCAGTGGTCAAGGACATCACTAAGCCTGGTCCATATTTGTATGTATATTACAAAATGATTACCACCATAGCTCTATCACATCATATAATTACTGCTTCTGTTTTGTGGTGAGAACATTTAAGCGTTACTTTCTTAGTACCTTTTAAGTATATAATATAGTATTATATATAGATGTGTATATATTTTATATATATAATGTATATGTGTACACACACATATATATTACATAGCATATACAGATTACATGTAACTACAGTTCCCCTGCTGTACTTGAGATCCCTAGTCTTATAACTGGAAGTCTGTGCCCTTCGGCCAACATTTCATGCATCTTTCTTTTCAGTTGGGGTGCTGTACTCTCGGAGGCCATCTGCTCCCCTTCCACCACCACCACCACCACTTTGAAAATGTGTGTGGGGTGGGGCAGGGAATCCCATCAAGAGTGTAGAGAAGCTGCTTTTATTCGACTATGGTGCCATCTGACCCTACATCTAGGAAAGATTTTGTGACTTAGCTTGTCCTCCATCTGCATCTCTAACTCTCTGGTCTAGCTGTAAAAATCACTTGTGTGTGTGTGACATTTTTCTGGCTCGTTTCCATTGCGAAGTGACTTGGGAAGTAACCAGCTATTTGAATACCAGAATTTGACATTTACTTTGACACCAAAAAATCTCGCTTGGCAGCTCATAAAATTTATGGTCACACAAGGGAGCCAACCTCTATATTGTGTCAAATATTTCTTCTCATTGGAGATTATTTCCCTCTGATCCCCTTCTGAAAAATAATAATTTCACTTGAATGTTTCAGTTAAACATGTAGTATCTTTTTTTGCATTTATTTATTGCATTACACACAGAAGAACAGTTTAAGAAGTTTGTTTAAAAATGCAAATCCCAGGGCGCCTGGCTGGCTCAGTTGGTAGAGCATGAGACTCTTGATTTCGGGGTCTTGAGTTCAAGCTCCATGTTGGGAGTAGATTTTAATTTAAAAAATAAGAATAAGGTTCCTGGTGGTCGGTTGTCGCAGTTGGTGGGTAGTAACTGAGCCAAGATGCGGAATCTGCTGGCTCTTCGTCAGATTGCCCAGAGGACCATAAGTACTGCTTCACGCAGGCAGTTTGAAAATAAAGTTCCAGAGAAACAAAAGCTATTTCAGGAGGATAATGGAATTCCAGTGCATCTAAAGGGTGGAGTAGCTGATGCCCTCCTGTGTAGAGCCACTATGATGCTTACAGTTGGTGGAACAGCATATGCCATATATCAGCTAGCTATGGCTTCATTTCCCAAGAAGCAGGATTGACTTCAGTTTATCATCTCAGCAGGCAGTTGGTTCAGTTTCATTCAGCTCTCTATGGACCAGTAACTGATAAATAAATGAGTTCTTCTTTGGGGATCAATATTTATTGACTTATACTAACTGCCACCAATAAAGCAGACTTTACCATGAAAAAAAACCAAAAAACAAAAAATAAAAAATAAGAATAAAAAATAAAAACAGATTTAATATATATATGAGGAAAATGCATGCCTGTGATCTCAGGCACATAAAATGACATCTACACATCAGTGGCCACCAAACCATTCAGCAGATCATTGGCAAGCATGGCATCATCGGCTATAATGTTTGAAGACCAATGTTTTTTTTTTTTTTTTTTAAAGAGTGAGAGAGAGCTTTGGGAGGGGCAGAGGAAGAGGGAGAGAGAATCTTAAGCAGGCACCACACCCAGCATAGAGCCCGATGTGGGGCTCGATCTCACAACCGTGAGGGCATGCCCTGGGCCATAATCAAGAGTTGGACACTTAATCAACTGAGCCACCCAGGCTCCCCTGAAGACCAATCTTTAACACTGTTTATATTTGGTTTATTATTTGAGTGTTCTTGGACCATGTGTGATCAGACTGGTATTTGAATGAAATAAGATCACGTATCAAAAAAATGCAAATCCCTGGAATCCACTTCCTGAAATCTAAAGCACTAGGTCTAGAAGCAGGTCCTAGGAGTTTTCAGATTTTTAGACAATTCTGAAGCAGGGAATCCAAAGACCACTCTTTGAGGGGCACCTGGCTGGCTCAGTCGGTAGAGTGTGTGACTCTTGATCTCAGGGTTTGAAGTTTGAGCCCCATGTTGGGTATAGAGATCACTTTAAAATAAAATCTTTTAAAAAACCCCATAAAACAAAGACCACTCTTTGAATAATACTGCCATAAGCCATTCTTCACTGTGCTCCAGGAACTTCAGGGTTTTTTGGGTTTTTTAAACATTTTTTATTAACATATAATGTATTATTTGTTTCGGGGGTACAGGTCAGTGATTCATCAGTTTTACACAATTCACAGCACTCACCATGGCACATGCCCTCCCCAATGTCCATCACCCAGCCACCCCATCCCTCCCATCCCCCTCCAGCAAACCTCAGTTTGTTTCCTGAGATTAAGAGTCTCTTATGGTTTGTCTCCCTCTCTGGTTTCATCTTGTTTCATTTTTCCCTCCCTTCCCCTATGATCCTCTGTCTTGTTTCTCAAAATCCTCATATCAATGAGATTATACGATACTTATCTTTCTCTGATTGACTTATTTCGCTTACATAATACCCTCTAGTTCCATCCACGTCATTGCAAATGACAAGATTTCATATTTTTTGATGGCTGCATAATATTCCACTGTATAAATATACCACATCTTCTTTCTCCATTCACCTGTTGATGGACATCTAGGCTCTTTCCATTGTTTGGCTATTGTGGACATTGCTTCTGTAAACATTGGGGTACATGTGCCCCTTCAGATCCCTACATTTGTATCTTTGGGGTAAATAGCCAGTAGTGCAATTGCTGGGTCATAGGATAGCTCTATTTTCAACTTTCTGAGGAACCTCTGTACTGTTTTCCAGAGTGGCTGCACCAGCTTGCGTTCCCACCGACAGTGTAGGAGGGTTAGGAACTTCAGTTTTTAATCCTAACATGGGTTTGTTCTGCATCTGTGTTCTAGTCCTGGACAGCATGATTCATTCTTACAGTGCACATGGCTCAATGCCAGACTAGTAAGCTGGGGATACTACACACCTCATTCTCCACCTGAACACAGATCTGCTGAGATCTGGGCTCCTTGCTTCAGAATAACTGCAAGCCTGGGGATTGACTTTGCCACCCAGCAGGTGTCCCACAGCTTACCAGGCGTGATTGTGTCTTCTCTCCTAAGGCAAGGCACATAATAACTTGCTCTCTTGCTTACTGGAGATCTCTGAAATCCTGCCATGGTGTGAAAAAAGTCCTGTGAAGTAGTAAAACTCCGGTTATGTGGTTATGTTAAATCCCAATGGCCAGAAGTAGCCACGAATTTAGCCACAAATAAAGAATAGCAGTCATTTCATTATTTATTCATCAGGTGATGATATAACTTATCCTCTCAACCAGGACATTTTTGAGAGTCAGTGTGGACATCATTAATAATTATGCTGGGAAAATAGCACAAACCAAAACTATCTCATGCACACAGGGACATAAGGTCACTCTGTGTGCCTCCTCACTGGATTTGACACAACTCAATCCACCTACACTACACCCACATCCTTTCACTCACAGGCTGGGGTTTCTTCTGACCTTTATCTCTATAAATGGGCATTTTAATGAATACAAATTTATTCCTCAAATGATTGATAAGCTAGATTCAAGCCCATTCATTCACTGAGACTTTGACTCAGTGGTGCACAAGCCAGTGGAAGCCCAAAGAAAGGAGTGGATCATGGGAGTAGCCCGACATGTAAAGGAAATTCCTTCCTATAGCTTATTACCTCCTTGAGGGGCAAAGTACTGGCCTCATGAGAAGAAAATGGAAGCCTTCCACTAGAGTCGCCAGGCACTGGGTTCAGCTTCAGGCTCCCTACCTAATACTTCAGCTGGTGTAGAAACATTTTAGCTATTAAGTTGTATCCACCCTCAAAAGTCACATGTTTACTTTGTAGCCTGCAAAAGAAAAAGCAAACCCACAAGAATATCTGTGGTATATTTCAAATATAAAATTATACCCGCAGCCCAAACAACTGGCTCCTTTTGGGGAGCGTGAGTACCAGCGTATTTGTAATACTTAATTGTACCTTGATGCATTTGCAGTCAGATGCTCTGAGGTCATGTGGCCAGTCACATGCAGCCCTAACTCCTATGATGAAAGAGTCAGAGAACATTAATGCCATGAGCATCCACAGTGGCCACCACATGCTAACATTTCATTTCACTAGGGAGACACTGAAGATTTGAAAGGTCGTGTCTTCTCCCTCACCATTCCCCGGTGAAAATCCAGTACTGTGGCCAAACCAAACAATATAAAGCTGCCCAAGCACACCAGCCCTCTCTCACCTCCCCAGGCTTTGGCTCCTGCAGTGCCCACTATGTGTAAGGCATAAGATCCAGCTCCTTCTTCCTGAACTCCATGTGATGAGTCACTGCTGCTTTGCACATTCCCAGCAGGTGGTCAGCAGACTTTGGAAATGTGAATGACCAAATGGTTTTGCCTAAATTTTAAGGAGCAGAAGTGGGTTTCAAACCCAAGTCTTTTGCCACCAAATTCAGTGTGTGTTTCATGACATAGTGTAGATAGAATCACAAGAGAGAATCTGGATGCTATCTTGACAGTTTGCCAGAATGCCAACATTGAAATAATCTGCTTGGTTTATAGGACCACAAAGAAGTATTATTTTTTTCTGGTACAAGTGCCATATTCAAAGTTCTCTAGATTGAGCTTTTGAGTTGGCTACATGGGGTATAGAGGATAAGACTTTGTCCTCTCCTTATTTTCTACCACCTATTGGCATCCTTTATCTTGGGAACCGTCTAGCTTTTCTGCCAAGAACACTGCTGAGACTCCCAATCCCTGTTACTTTAAATGAGACTTGTACTTGAACCCCAAGGCCCTTGAGCCCACTCTTACTCATCGCCTTCCACCAACTAGCTTACTTTCAGGTGTACTGCCCTGAGATCAGCACCATCTAATAATAACTCATGGTACCTTAGAATTTGTAGTTTCCTTCCACGTTATCTCATTTGATCTTTCTAACAGCTTTGTGAGAGGGGTGGAATAGGCATTAACGTATTTTTTTTTTCAATTTTTAAACAATGATTTCAGAGATGAGAAAATTGAGAGCAAAAGAAAATAAATGGCTTCTCTCAAGTCCCAAAGCTGGTTAGAAGCGGAGACCTGAAGTGAGGGCTTCTGATCCCAAAGGCAGGCTCTCGTTCCTCCAGAAAAGCCAGGCCTGAGCTGTGGGAGCTCATGGGCCTCTGCTGAGTACCTCAGAGGGAAGAAAGGTTGGGCGAATTTGCTGAGTTGATAAAGCTGTAAAAGCTGCCAGGGCATCTTAGAGAAGCAGCCGAGATTTGACAAATGGAAGAATTGATGGGCTCTTTTTTAAAAGTAGCTTCGAGAAGCCAGCATCAGCTTACACCCATATGAACCATCTTAACGTGCCACTGAAGTTCCCTCCGTAATAGAGCGGAGAGGCGAACACACATTTTCCACAAGTGCTGAAGCAGCAGCCTGCGGCTGAGCACTAAGTGGTGGGACTGGATGAAAGACTTGCTTGTCCCAAGCTCCTGTGTCAGTAGGTGCCCGGTGATGACATTAAGGGTGTCTCTAAGTGCTTTGCCGCCGAGGGCCCGGGGACAGCACTTGGCACTCGGCTCACTCGGGCACAGTAGCCAAGGGTCTTCTGTGCCCCCAGGCTCCTTCCTGCTCCCTCCCTTACACTGAGTTTTTTGTTAGCAGCTCCAGTGAGGACAGGGAAAGAAAAGGAGAGAGTCTGCGACTTCCATTAAATATCAGCACATTGCATTTTTGGTGATGGCTCGTCGGAGGTAACGAGCGAAATCTGCTCGGTCACCATATTAGAGCAGCCTCTGACTAGACCTCCAACACTGAATTAGTTTTCTTCCTCCCTTCCTCTCATTTATTCTTGGTCTCAACAACTATGTCCTGAAGATCTATTGTTATTTACTATGAAAAATACCGTGAGGCCCACAGAAGAAATGCAAAGTGGGATCTCTGGCCAGGGGGTAAATTTGGGGAGGGAAGAGAAGAGGACCAACTCACTGTGTGTTCGCTGTAGGCAGAATAAGGGTAAATGTGCAGTGAGGCCAGTGCTTCTCTTGGTTGTTTATTGACTGCTTACCAAACGCTAAGCTGTGTGTTCTGGCAACAGAAGCAGAGAGAACAACTCAGACCTTGCCCCTTGAGGAGCTTATTGCCTCTGACAGTGTTTCCCAGGCAAGGCTCCCCCGCCACTTGCATTGGAATTAGCTGGCCTTTGTCTAAAGAAGCTGATGCCTGCTCAGATCGACACAATCAGAATGTTAAAGGTGGGCCCTTGAATCTCAAGTTGTTCCATGAGCACCCCGGGTGAATTTTTTTTAAGATTTTATGTATTTGACAGAGAGAGAGCAGAAGCAGGGGCAGCGGCAGGCAGAGGGAGAGGGAGAAGCAGGTTCCCTGCCGAGCAGGGAGCCCAATGTGGGGCTCGATCCCAGGACCCTGGGATCATGACCTGAGCTGAAGGCAGACGCTTAACCGACAGAGCCACCCAGGCGTCCCCAACCCCAGGTGATTCTTAAGCACAGGAGAGTCTGAGCATGATCACATGAGAGTCTGGCAGAGACAAACAAAGGGACCCAAACAGGTGTAGCTAGGGAGAGCTGTGCTGGGGGGTGCACAGGCTTGTGACTGCAAGGACCGGGGAAGAGGAACAGACACTGCTTGTTGGTGTCCTTCAGGATTGTGGCAGCAGAGGGGGGCACTGCACCCCCAGTCTAACACCGCGTCCAGAGTAAGAAGGGGCCTGTGGGAAATCACCTCAATTGTTCGGATCTTTGTTCAAACAGTGCCTTCCCGGAGAGGCCTGCTATAGCCATGTTCTAAAAGGACTCTTGTCATTCTTTTTTTTTTAACTTAAATTCAATTAATGAACATACAATGTATTATTGGTTTCAGAGGTAGAGTTCAGTGATTCATTAGTCTTATGTAACACCCAGTGCTCATTACATACGTGCCCTCCTTAATGTCCATCACCCAGTGACCCCATCTTGTCATTCTTCTTACTCGGACTTTTCTTCAGAGCACCTATCCTCTTCTGACGTTGGAGTTGTGTGTCTGTCTCATGTACTAGTGTAGAAGTTGTGAGGGACTGGGGGGGTGCCTGGGTGGCTCTGTCGGTTAAGCCTCTGACTCTTGATTTTGGCTCAGGGCATGATCTTAGGGTCATGAGATCGAGCCCCACATTGGGCTCCAAGGGCATGGAGCCTGCTTAAGATTGTCTCTCTCCCTCTCCCTCTGCCCTTCCCACCCTCCAAAGAAGTTGTGAGGGACTTTGTCACTTCTGTCCACAGCTGTATCTGCAATGCCTAGAAGAGTAGTTGGCACATCGTAAGTGCTCAATAAACACATAAAGGCGCTTCTGGGAGGGCAGACGGATCCACACTGGCCCCATCTCTCAGCTGCTCAACTGATACTGCTCTCAAAAACTGCAAGAATCTCTAAGCTTCCTGTGGCCTTTCTGTCCCTTCTTGGCAGCTGGGAACATTGGAAGGAGCCACGAGCAGCCCTGACCTTGTTCTCCAGCTCTCCCTCACACAGAGACATTTGCATGGTACATCTCTCCCTGACTGGGGCCCGCAGAGACTCTCTCTTCCTGGTGTCTGAGTCCTGGGGAGCCTCCGAGCCATTAGTTTAATGTGAGGCTTGCTGGAATATCAAGAAGCTATTTCCAGAATTGAAGAGGGAGCTTTGGAGAGGTGAGTGTGGTCTGATAGAGGAAGGCCAACAACAGCTCTGGGGAGAGGAGGTCAGGACTCCAGAGCCCGCCAGGATCCTCTGGAGCCCTTGCCGCCAGGGAGGATGGGCGTGCAGTGTGTTGTCCTGTGCTGCAGCCCAGTTTTTCTGAAAGCCTTTTCACAAAATGTTCTGCATCACAGGTTAATGTATAAGACACGAGTTGTAAGTGGAAAGTTGGCAGAGTCCTTTGGAAATTGGCTAAAGGGCAGGAAATAAAGGGTAGCAATAAAAACCTAAAAGGATGTTAATTGGGGAGTGCCTCAGGGAACAGGGTTGAGACCAGCTTTTTATTATTTACATTAAAAATACTTGAGAATGGTTTTGAAAGGATTTTCTTGTTGGCTAATGAAACAGCATTAGGGAGCTGTGTGTGGAAATGTGAATAGTGGAATTAGGGAAGGATTCAATTTATTGATGGAATTGAAGCGAGTGTTTTCTGACATGTTTCTGTGTATCAGTCCACACCCATTCTGTTGGCTAGATTTCCCTTTGGGTAGTGGGCAGGATGACTTCAGCTTAAACAACTCGAATCTCTACATATGTTTGGCCGGCAGAAAAGCACTGGAAGAGATTCTGGCACCTTAAACCCAGGGTAGTCCTGAAATTAAATGGATGTTATCTTCAGACCTGGAAATCTTTCCTGTAGAAGGAGCTAGAAGACAGATGGAATCTCCCACTTAGCTAGAGGCATAAGACTGGAACTGGAGTACCCAACATCATCTCCCCACCTCCCATAACACTTTTTATTCTATGGAGTTTGGATTATTGCAGAAGTGTATTGTAGATAGACCCCAAGAAGAAGTGAGCAGTCTCTCTTAAGCAAAGTCATTGCATCCTGGCAATTACAGCGTAGTGAGCCAGGACTGGGGAGGCCAGAGCCAACATTTGCTGTCCTCTCTAAAGCCTGCCTCAGAGGCCTCACGGAGGCCACCAAGCCCTGGATCTCCTTGTTTGCGAGCCTGGGCCTGTAGGAATCCTCTTCAGCCTCGCTACTCAGAGTGCGGTCCCAGGACCCACAGCATTGGCATCACAGGGGAGTAAGCTAGACATGAAGCTTCTCCAGCCACACCCCAGAGCTGAGTTAGAATCCACATTTTAGCAGGATCCCCAGTGGATTCCTAGGCACATTAGCATTTGAGAAGCACTGCTAGAACATTTGTGACACCCAGGAATCACAAGAAAATACAGCAAAGGGGATTTGGTTGCTTCTGTGGAGGGAAAACTAGACCACATGAGTTCAGTGGCCTGAGGATAGAATTCTGGCATTTGGGACTTTCCAGTCTGCTGTAAACTGAAGATTCTCCTTATTGTTTTCTTTAATTTGGCCTCATAAGGCACAGTGCCTTCTCTAGGAGGTAAACTCACCCTTAAAGTGGATATCCCTTTTGAGAAAATGTTAAAAGCCAGTCCAGTATACCCCTGAGTTCTCTTCCCCTGAGTGTGGGCCATGCACTGGGCCACTAGCTAATTGTTACCACCTAGTTAGCAGGCCACAGAGGCGTGGTACCTGGAGGCTGCTTTTCATTTGAGCTCATTTTCCAAGGGCTCTGTGGGTAGGTGTGTGGTATTTTTGTTGTTTTCTGCTGCTGGGTGTAGGCTGTTAGTCCACAGGACCGCCCTATGTCAGGGTGTCACGGGCCTGAGCAAACCTTTCTAAAACATAGGAGGCGTGGCTTTCAAAGATGTGGATTTGAGCAGTCTGTAGGCCTCTTAGAATTGAATTCTCTGTAGGTTTGAGATGACCTAACACTGACTGTGTGTGATGGGGCACGCAGCTGCTTAAACTCCAACCTCCTTCCTCTCCCTGCCCCTCCCCTGGCCTACAGCTTTCACTCAGACTTGCTTTTAGAAGACAGGAGAGAGAAAAGAGGGGGTTGAAGGAACTAGAAGATTGACAAAACTGATCTGCGTTTGTCCTTAGCTCGTGAGGTGGTGTACACAGAGCTGGTTCTGCCAAATTAGGAGGGAATAGTAATGAAACCCCAAACTCTTTTCTTGCCAGAGTTGGGTGAAAATAGATTTGCGACCTAACCCAAATACCGCTTCATTTTTATTCTTACTAGTTTTGTCAAGGTTATACTGTTCTTCTCCAAGAGTTTGGGCGGATATTGAAATATCCAGGTCCTTCCAGGTACTAGAGATGAGGAAAGATGTCACGTTTGCCAAGATACAGTTTGGAGATTCAGACTTAGCATGTGTCCTTTATAACTGAGGCTAGATTGAGGCCCTTCAAATCTGAGTATAGCTCTGAGCCCCATCCTTACATGAGAGGAGCCCTGCCCCTAGGGCCTCAAACAGGTAAACCAGAAAGTGATTCATGTGAGCCCATTAAATAAGTGTGTCTCCTTCAGTCCTAGACAAATACACACAGAGCAACTACTAAAGATCTGAGGCTGGCTTTCTCTCCCCCACAGACAGAGCCCAGAACCAGGGAAATTTGCTATTCATCTTTATACTTAGAGCACCTGGCACAGAGCAGGCCCTTAGTTAAGTCTTTGTGGAATGGATGGATGTGGAAGGAGGAAGGAGGCAAGCCTCTGACTGCTCTTCTGGCTAGCACAGTATCGACTATATTGTTCTAGCTATGTCTCAGGCATTATTACATTTTCCATTCATTCTTCCTTGTCAACTATTAGGCCCCCCTGGTGAGCCCCATATGTCTATACGGCAAGTCTCCGAAGGAGGCTACCCCTGGCCACAAAGCTGTCTCCACAACCAGGTACCTTATAGTGCATACCTAAAAATACCTAGGCTAGATGGGAAAAGAGAAAGGAATTCAGAAGCTCATTTGTTGTGGGAAATAATGTGCTCCCAACCTCTTAAGTAGGAATATTCCCATTCTTTTCAGGTAAGAGTCTACGATCTCTCCAAATATGAGCATGGATCAGATGATGTGCTGATCTTGGCCACTGATGGACTCTGGGATGTTTTATCAAATGAAGAAGTGGCAGAAGCCATCACTCAGTTTCTTCCTAACTGTGATCCAGATGACCCTCACAGGTTTGTGCATTTCTGTGATGGTAGGGTTGTTCCTCGAGCCAGTTTTCATGGTGTGACTGAAATAAATAATCATGCACTTTCCATCATTCATGATTTGCTGTAGAGCTGATATGGATGGATTAGGAACCGAACTGTAGAAGGGACATTTCTTATTAGTAGTACTATCACAGCCGAATAAAAATCCTCAAGTTGAACCTAGATGCAAGTGGTAAAGAATTTGACTTTTTTTTTTTTTTAAGATTTTATTTATTTATTTGTTAGAGAGAGAGAGCGTGAGTACGAGCAGGGGGAGCTGCAGGCAGAGGGAGAAGCAGGCTCCC